CTAATACATGATATAAGGAAAATTACCCTAATTGATTAGTATTTCAAACAAACATATTATTCAGTTTCCATATATATTATTATTTTTTCATATATATCATTATTTACCCTAATCGTTTTCATATAATAAGGAAAATTACCCTAATTGATTAGTATTTCAAACAAACATATTATTCAGTTTCCATATATATTATTATTTTTCCAATAGTCAATTAACTAAACCCATAGTCGAATTAGATACATGGGATGGTCTATTAAAAGATATGAGATAGTCTATTAATTTTAAAACACAAATCCGGAAAATAGGAAGGGATTTGATTTTATTTCAAAAGGTAAAGTAACGGGTTTTGTGGGATTTGATTGAGGGTAATTATGTAATTAGGAAAAGTTTGGGCTGTTATCAAAATGGCAAATATAAATTTGGGTCTACCCCTATTATTTGAATGTTTAAGGGGGTTATATCTAATAGACCCATAAAAAAAAACCAAAAGAATTAATATTACTATGAGTGACAGTAATATTACTATAGCAACAGTAATATTACCGTCAACCACAGTAATATTACAATAATAGACAGTAATATTATTACGTTACTCCGTGAATAACTCAAACAAACAAAAAATCCAAACAAAATAATAATATTGATGTGGTTGACAGCAATATTACTACAACAACAGTAATATTACCGTCAACCACAGTAATATTATTGTGTTTACAGTAATATTACAATAATAGACAGTAATATTATTACGTTACTCCGTGAATAACTCAAACAAAACAAAAACCCCAAAAAAATAATAATATTGATGTTGTTGACAGTAATATTATTGTGTTTACAGTTATTTTACTGTCAACGACAGTAATATAATTACGTTGACTTGTCAACAAATCAAACAAAATAAAAAAAAAACAATAAAAAATAAAAAATAATAATATTACATTAATTTACTGTCAACGGCAACACAATTACATAAATGTAATGTCAACGGGAGTACAATTACGTCAATTAACTATCATTGACAGTATAATTACGTTAATTTACTGTCAGTGACAGCACAATTACGGTCAACGTTTAGCGGCGGACGGGAAAAACAAAACAAACCAAATAAACAAACAAAAATAAAACTAAAAAAAAAACGCCAGATGAGGGTCGACGCCGG